GTGAGCTGTCAAGAGCGGCCGTCCAGTGGCTGGCGACTGATCTGCCTCACCCGGGAAGAGCGCAATGATACCAACATGGGCCAGTGTAGCAACGTCCTCCACAACTAGACTGAGGAACAAAAGGACAGCAACTTGTCTGTTCCCCTCCCCCAATTCCCCAATAAAATCTTAAAAAAAGAAGAGGCAAAATCTTCAATTACTCTCTTTATGAATAAATGGATAAATGGGACCACTTTAAAGAACCTATCCTACAAAAATATTTGTAGATGCACACAAGTAAATATATATGAAAATGTTTACTGCAGCATTATTTATAATAACAAGAAATGAAAAACAATCTAAATATCACTATTACCATATAAAGAATTCTATGTAGTCATTAAAAAGAATGAAGGAGATTTATATGCACTCATGATCAATGATTTCCAAGATTAAGTGAAAAAGGAAGATGTCCAAATATATGTATAGCAAAACCCCATTTATTTTAGTGGTGGCATAGTGCAAATATATATATATATGGACACATATTATAAAAAATATGTGTAAATATACAGAAAAGATCTTAAAGACTATAGGTTCAATTTTTAACAGTGGTTACCAATAGAAGAAATGGAATTTCTCCTTTTACTGAATCTATTTCTGTGCTGTTTAAAGTTTTTTTCACAACACAAATCTATGTTTTTAATCTATGTCAATAACTTAAAAAAACAAATAAGAATGGAGAATAAATGTTATTTACAAATAAACAGAAGGGGAAAAAAATGAAAGATGAAAATGTTCTTTAGTAAACACATTATTTCTGTTAAGAGAAAAAAATGTTAAAAATATGAATAAAATACAGTTGTGTTTGTCTTATAGAAATATGGGTAGCTTCCACCTCCCTCTCCTCTACGTTCAAAATACTGTTCCACAGTGGACAGTTTTTACATTTCTAAGGGGTAGGGGTAAGGAGGGAAAACAAAGAAATAACATGATTTCAAGGTAATTTAATAAATTTACTTACATGTAATCTACCTCGAAGCTCTCTGTCATTTCTCATTTTCACATAAATTCGCTCATCCAAGCTGAGCCTGATGAGATCCAGGGGCTCTTCTACAGTGTTGGTAGTTTGTTGCTGATAAAAGAAACAAGCTTAATAATACAGTACTAGAGAGAGAGCAATGTTTGAATCGTTCTGACACTGCGTTGACTGTGGGCAAGTAACTTAACCCCTCTATGCTTTCCTTAGTCTTCTATCCAGTAAAATGTGGATAACAGTGCCTACCAAATACCATTGTTGTGAGGCTTATATGACATATATGAAGGCTTAGAACAGTACCTGGCACATAGTAAGTGCTATATAAATGAAGACTGGAACATACACAGGAAGGAGTTATACAGCATAATAATCATGACTATGTTCCCTCAAAATCCAAACTGCCTGACACAATTTCAGGATATAAGGAGTCACTCTCAGGGACTTTAGCTTTATCTCAAATATCATTTAGTAATCTGAATAACACTGACTTAATAACTACTACACACTAGTCAGAATGCTAAGCAGAGATGAAGATTTGAGGGAAGATTAGGAGTTCAGTACAGGGCAGGCTGAGTTTAGGGTGCCAACTGGCCAATAAGGTGAGTATACCCAGCAGGCAGTATAGAATACTGGCTGAAAGCACTGGCTTTGGTGTCAGGCAG